ACTCATTTCAGTTTCTCGTCATATGGCTTCCTAAAATCGGTATTTACAAATCAATCTTTTTGACAAGTTATTGCGCTTTCCAAATAGCGCTTGGGAGCCAGTGGGAGAGAATGGGTAGAAATGGAGTCTTAATTACGACAGGTGTCCCAGTGACAGGCAAACGACAACTTTGTGATTGGCACTGAAAAACATAACGACTGTCGCCGTAACTGAAAACCCAACACGAGACGGATTCTTTCGAAAGTAGTTTCATATGGGTGTGGAACTTTCTCGGAGAAAATAATAGCTAAAGTCTGTTTTTGACCACTAGATGGATTTGAGGTCAACTAGATAGCGTTGTATAATGGACTAAGCTTGTGCACTCCCCCCCCCCCCACCCCGCATCACGGTTGATGGTTTTGCTGTTCACATTTCTTATTTTGATGGATTACAACTTTTGCTTGTAATTGTCATTTTCACTGCTCTGTCACCCTTTCCCTTCTATTCAATTAATGATATGATTATACCTATCTGTGCCGCGTGATCGGTTAATGCCGATTTATTCCATGCTGGTTGATAGGTTTGTCGTTCAGCTTTCGTGCCTACTGGAGATACTTGCTGTTATAAGTGACAACATTTTCCTACATGCTTCTTCAACATACTTGTAGAGCAAGAATCACTAGGGATTTTGCAAACTACGCCACTGCAGTGCTCAATTTTTTTTCTTATATCTTTGGAGTATAGAAGAATTTTTTCTGAGAGTTTGATGTGGCTTCATTGCAGTGCTGATGTTTTACTTTCTGACAATCCTGACAAGTGATTCGGAGAGACCTTTGAGATACAGAATAACAACCATGCCCTTTAATTTTGTTGGTATCACCGTTTCTTTTGGCCTTTGTGGCAGAACAATTTTCATGTCTGATTCTTATGCGTTTCTGGCGGTTTCTATTTAGTAGTATTCATATTTTATTACAGCTCACAGTATTACCCTGCTGAAGAGAATAAACAGCCAGTCTTCAAAAGCTTCTGACAAGGATAAATCCACATGCAGTGTGAATGTGGTAATTCATCTCCAATATTTTATTATTATATAGTATTAAATACTGTTTTATTTTTCGAGACGATCGATCGACCCTCTGACCTCACATCTATTGAACACCACCAGCAACAAGAATCTGTGAACCTGGGCACGGTACATCAAACTGGCGATACTCATCACGAAGACTTTATAACGGCTAAGCACGTCATTATAACTTATCAGTTTTTTCTCTTAATATGATTTGTTTGAATGGATAGATAAACAATTAGTGCGTGAAGTGGTATGTTTTTTAAATGATCTAACGTGTAATAGTCTATACTATGCCACGCCACGCCACGCCTCGCCAAGCCATGCCACACCATGTCATGTCATGCCATGTCATTCCATGCTATCCTATGCCATACCATGCTGTTTTGCCATGCCACGCCATTCAGAACAGTGGACTAACGCCATGCCTCTCCACACCACGCCACACCATGCCATGCCATGATTTGCTTTGCTATGCCATGCCATGCCATGCCATGTCATGTATTATTTTGCAGTGCTATGCAATGTCACACTACAGTACACTAAAATACACTAAACTAGGCCTACTTGTTACTTTTGTGGTTCTTATAGGCCAAGCACGTGCCTTTGATCCACGTGCCATAGTCATACATTGGGATGACATGTGACCATTTCGAATAATTCTACTAGCCTCTATGTTATATTTATTAGATATCTCATTTTTAGGTGATTTCTCTCCTTGTGATAAACGACAGTCACGCATACTGTTAAGTTTATTACATATTGTAATCCAGAGACATTTGTTAACAACGGATATTACATTACATCATACAATGCGTAAATGGCGGTATTTACATCAAACCTAAAACTCATATATACCGTATGTGTATTACAATAAACTCGACAAGATTGAAAAAAGAAATCAAAAAAGAAAACATGATATGTCTGCTTGATATATTGGCTGCTATAATGGCTCTTGCGGCTGATGGTCTTTGCTGGCTCCGTAATCTATTAACTAATTTACTGTAAAGAAACATTGGATGATGACATGTGACGGCTTGTAAATATATCGACGCCATTAGCTGTCAGCCTCAATACAACACATTACTTCCACTCTGGGTTATTTTCTTTTTTTTCTATCTTCGCTATCATAACGCATTATCTGATCGCAAATAATGCGACAGGGATTGTCAGTGACTTTGGGCTCAAAATTATGATTGGAAATATATTTTTATATATATAAAAATATATTTTTTATATATATAAAAAAATATATATATAAATATATAACTGGTTAAAAGTAGGAAGTGCCTTTCGAATTTTGACGTGTGTGTGTGTGTATGTGTGTGTGTGTGTGTGTGTATTTGTGTGTGTGTGCGTGTGTATTGGGGAGGGGGCTTATTGAACGCAGGAGAGGCGGATCTGTGCAACGCACAAACACACGCACTTATACGCACGCACACGCAGACAGTGATAGAAGAAGACGCCGAAGAGCAGCGGATCGTTTACACATTAAAAAGCTGAAGATGGAGATTTACTGACGCCAGATTCTTCACCAAACGGATATGGATCATCCTAAGATTACTCCCTACCCTTTGACACCAGGGACTCCTAAAATAGTATCCAAAATCAAAGTATCAGCATACAATATTCTGAAACAGACTACTAGGGCATTCTGTGGTCAAAGAGTAACTTTTTTTCCTTAATGTTCAATGTCAACTTCGTTTTTAATTTCACTCATTCAAAGAAAGAGAGCAATAGCGTGTGTATGAGAGAGAGAGAGAGAGAGATTTCACAATGGCTTTATAAGTAAACATTTCAGTCGTTATTTTATAGCTCAGTACAGAAAAAAGTTTCCTCTTCTTTTGCAATATATTGGCTCCAGGTCTACTGTGACTGCTGGCCTGTGTTGGTGATCTAAAACACCTATCTACTTTTTTTTCATTCTATGCAGTTTAAATATTTTTAACATTGCACGGCTAGGTCAAAATGTTTATCAATCATGAAGGTCTGCTTAGTTTCAAAAATATAGGTTCATTCAGTATTTAAAAGAGAGCGAAAGCTTACATGCACAAGGTCCATCCCCAACAAAGCCAACGGCAAAAAGTGTTCATTTGCAAAAAGTAAGAANAGACCTACTTGTTACTTTTGTGGTTCTTATAGGCCAAGCACGTGCCTTTGATCCACGTGCCATAGTCATACACTGAGATGACATGTGACCATTTCGAATAATTCTACTAGCCTCTATGTTATATTTATTAGATATCTCATTTTTTAGGTGTTTTCTCTCCTTGTGATAAACGTCAGTCACGCATACTGTTAAGTTTATTACATATTGTAATCCAGAGACATTTGTTAACAACGGATATTACATTACATCATACAATGCGTAAATGGCGTTATTTACATCAAACCTAAAACTCATATATACTGTATGTGTATTACAATAAACTCGACAAGATTGAAAAAAGAAATCAAAAAAGAAAACATGATATGTCTGCTTGATATATTGGCTGCTATAATGGCTCTTGCGGCTGATGGTCTTTGCTGGCTCCGTAATCTATTAACTAATTTACTGTAAAGAAACATTGGATGATGACATGTGACGGCTTGTAAATATATCGACGCCATTAGCTGTCAGCCTCAATACAACACATTACTTCCACTCTGGGTTATTTTCTTTTTTTTTTTCTATCTTCGCTATCATAACGCATTATCTGATCGCAAATAATGCGACAGGGATTGTCAGTGACTTTGGGCTCAAAATTATGATTGGAAATATATTTTTATATATATAAAAATATATAACTGGTTAAAAGTAGGAAGTGCCTTTCGAATTTTGACGTGTGTGTGTGTGTATGTGTGTGTGTGTGTGTGTGTATTTGTGTGTGTGTGCGTGTGTGTTGGGGAGGGGGCTTATTGAACGCAGGAGAGGCGGATCTGTGCAACGCACAAACACACGCACTTATACGCACGCACACGCAGACAGTGATAGAAGAAGACGCCGAAGAGCAGCGGATCGTTTACACATTAAAAAGCTGAAGATGGAGATTTACTGACGCCAGATTCTTCACCAAACGGATATGGATCATGCTAAGATTACTCCCTACCCTCTGACACCAGGGACTCCTAAAATAGTATCCAAAATCAAAGTATCAGCATACAATATTCTGAAACAGACTGCTAGGGCATTCTGTGGTCAAAGAGTAACTTTTTTTCCTTAATGTTCAATGTCAACTTCGTTTTTAATTTCACTCATTCAAAGAAAGAGAGCAATAGCGTGTGTATGAGAGAGAGAGAGAGAGAGAGAGAGAGAGAGAGATTTCACAATGGCTTTATAAGTAAACATTTCAGTCGTTATTTTATAGCTCAGTACAGAAAAAAGTTTCCTCTTCTTTTGCAATATATTGGCTCCAGGTCCACTGTGACTGCTGGCCTGTGTTGGTGATCTAAAACACCTATCTACTTTTTTTTCATTCTATGCAGTTTAAATATTTTTAACATTGCACGGCTAGGTCAAAATGTTTATCAATCATGAAGGTCTGCTTAGTTTCAAAAATATAGGTTCATTCAGTATTTAAAAGAGAGCGAAAGCTTACATGCACAAGGTCCATCCCCAACAAAGCCAACGGCAAAAAGTGTTCATTTGCAAAAAGTAAGAAGAAAATTAAATCTACGACCTATGAACCTGCATGCTGTGACGCATGTAAAAAATGCAGTGAAACTGTTACCGGCTGCGTGGCCATGGACTAAGAAATAATTTTCTAGGAAGTGACCACTCGGTGTTCAGGAAACGTTTGAGCCCCGCTGTGAAATTTACCGTATTGAGATCGATGGAGGACTTTTCGCTTCTTTGAATTCAAGCTGCGAATCGATTCAAACCCGAGCCCCCGTGAACAGTAATATAAGCACCGGCTGGGTCTGCATCATGCAAGCTGACGATGACGTGCGCGGAGATATAAAATTAAGATATTTATCGTGCGGGCTGTTGTCAAAGCTAGCTATATTTTACATTTGCTAGTACCAAGGTCTTTATTGGTAATTTAAAAGTGAAGCGGTGACGATAAGGGAATATATAGAGCGGAAAGTGAAGTTGGTCCACATTTTAACGCTGACTGCAGAAACTGTTGTTAATCCCACCACTCCTCATAGGCTATCAAGAACATCGCAATGTAGGCCTTCACCCATGGTGAATAAGTATCCAAACAGAAGGCGCTCCAAGTCACGTGAACAGTGTAAGCTGGCAGAAAACATCTGATGAGGTCGATCATTTTGGTGAAGTATATTTTATATTGCGGGAGGCATTTTCCTTGACAACATGGCAGTGGTAGTGCATGAGCTGGATGTACCGCGCCGAAATAACTGCTGTTCGGCTGAGTTTGCCTGTCCGCACTTCACGCTTGAACACGACAATCCCGTGTTGTTTCTACAACCTCAGGTTAGTGCGTGTGTCAGTGTGTGTGTGTGTGAGTGTGTGTGGTGTGAGTGTGTGTGTGTGGTGTGTATGTGTGCTAGTGTGTGGGTGTGGGTGATTGTGTGTGTGTATGCGTGTGTGTGTGGGTGTGGGTGTGCACAAAAGAAAGAGAGAAATAGCTTGTGTATGAGAGAGAGAGAGAGAGAGAGAGAGAGAGAGATTTTACAATGGCTTTAATTTATAAGTAAACATTTTAGACGTTCTTTCTTTTTTAGCTCCAGTACAGATTAAATATTCTAGACCCCATTCTACACTGGAGATAACAGGACTATTGTAAAAGACGATCTATGTTTAAACTCCACTTACATATAAACACACATATGTACTTTTCTTATACGCAATAAAAGTACATGTAAAAACCTCAGTCATGCATCTACTTGCTTTATTGACACTGTGGCAATACTTCAGCATTTGCAGGATTAGTGGGTTATAACAAGCCAATATATGTCACTACCCAATCATCTCAAGCTTAATATGATAGTTATACAAAAGAATGCTGGCAGGCGGGAGATTTATAGAAAAAAACGAGTATATCGCTGTGTAGCGACTGTTACAATCAGGGAAATATTTTATAAATACAGTGAAGTGACAAAGGTAAGATCAACCGAAGATGGGCCGTGAGAGAGTCTAAATGGTATACATCCCTTTCTAAGTCAAACGCTATCATGTCTTTGGGTCACTGCTCTAAATATAAATATGCTTAATGCCAACCGAGCTCTCGCTTGCTTTGCCTTTTAAAAATAGAATGATTAGCTTGGAAAAATCTAGCACTCCTTGGAACAACAGCCCGCATATGTAGGCCTAAAGGTATAACCTAACCTTAGCGCTCAACCGAAACGGGAGATTGAGAGAATCGATTGTGAATTTTCTTATAGATCAACACATTCTGTAACAAGACGTCCCAGGGGTGCTTGGGGTCTGATGGTTCTGATTACACGCGTCTTCTTTTCGGCCCGAGGGGGGGGGGGTTCGGAGGCTACGCACCCCCTTGGTTTCGAAAGTACCCCTTTTTGAAAACGGTCTAACCAGTGCGTTTGGAGAATGGTTAGTGACTTTTCCTTTTTGATTCAGAATAGTACAACATCCCTCCTATCTAGAAAACTGAGCCAGCAAAGATTAGAAACATTTGCCGACACCCTGTGGAGCAGAGAGCTGGTTATGTCCCTCTTGTGCATCGCCACACTTTCATTATCGCGTAATGTGATGTGCCAATACTTTGGTACTCGGGGTTGAATGCACGGAAACATATGGCAAGTATCTTGCTTCTCATCCAAGATTCAACATTTGCAAGAATAAGCTACGAATCGATTTCAAACTAGACGAGAACTAAATAAAAAATACCTGTGTCTAACGTACAGCAATATTATACCCAAGACCAACCCAAACTGCACCCATGATATTCATTATACCAAAACATACTAGATTTTGGTTCACAGCTTTTCTAATTGTTGTGATATTTAAGGGATAATAACTCTTTGTTTCGGCCAAAAAATGAATTTTCCTGGAGTAAACAACAATTTTCCCATACTTACCAATGGTTAATGAATCCATTTTTACATTCAAAGTTACTCCCTGTTTTTTTTTCTAAAAAGTTTGGTTTTTTGTTAAGATCTCTTAAGAGATTTTAACAGATTACAGCCATCAATGGAGGTCACGTGGTCTAAATACAAGCTCAGATATCAGAAAAAATAGCTATAACTGCCATTTTTGTGGTAAAACAGAATAAATTATATTTCTATGAGTTATTCACAATGTTTTTATTGTTAAATATAGATCTCATACGAAGAGTTATTATCCCTTTAACAGACATTCCCACGGAGCCACCTAGGTGACGGATCTAGTCCCAGAGGTCGAAATTAGGCATTGGTATCGGAATGAGTTACACTTATAGAGGTTTTCTATTCCCCAATGCTGCGGGCTGACGCCAATCCTGGCTAATAGTTCAAGACAAGCTTCGACAGGAGAGAGAGATATCATCTGGCTTTAGTTCTGGGGCCTGTTTCGGTGCTGTTTCACAAAAGACCTATAGCCCGAAAACAAGTCTAAACTCTGAGACATCTAAACTCTAAGACGAAAGTTTGTCTACTTTGACTTAAGATAAATCAGTGGTAGTGAGTTTTTTTAAATATATTTATAAAAATTAAATAATAGTATGTACATATAAAGATGGCAAACCCCTTTTAAGCATCGTATGTTCATCTTAAAGAACCTAAAAGTATAACCAATAAACTAATATATATCTACTGATGATGGAGAAAAGAAAAAAATGTTTTATAATGATAAATACTGAAACAGTGATTTAAGTGAATTAATACATTACAAGGGAGTTGGGAGGTAGGTGTAGGATTAAATAAAGTATAGCCCATGTTTTGCAACGCGAAAGGTGTGGTTTATGTACCAGACCACAAGTATATTTTATTAAAGTGGACTGCTACGTATAGGGCTCGTCTTTAACAGATGAAGGACAAATATTTTGTCTAAAAGTGTAGACGGCTAATTTTCAGGCTATAGTCCTTTTGGGAAACGGCTCTATGGAATGCTCTGCAATACGGTAGTCTAGACTCTAACACATTAATAAGGAACGTCTCCACTAGAGTGAAATTAGTCTACTCTCCGCCATGGCCTGCTAAATTTAAGAAAAAATCATCAAAGAATGACGTTTAACTTCTTTTTTTTTTTTTTCGTCTTCCGAACCATTTAAGACAGCAGGGTATTTAGCTCTTGCATGAAACTGTTCGTCTTCATAACCACAGCACACTAAACACCACATGTATCTATTTTCGGGCTAAGACCCTAAGGTCCTCTAGAATAGCGTCTGATCCCACTGCTGAAATTTAGATTTATGTTTGATAAGATTAAGGAAGGAAGTAGATACCTTCATCCTTGGATTACGGCAGCTAAGAGTTAAACATTAAAAAGTGGTACGTTTGCTACACTGTATAGAATTCTCATATCTGATCGAGACGGAATTTTCATATAAACTGATTTCCGAAAACTGCTCTTCTTCATCTGATTGCTATGAGGAATCCAAATTATCAAATATGATCCCAAATAGATGCCAGGATATGGGATTTAGAAGACTGCAAGGCAGCAATTACAATTAAACGAAAATAATCGTTATGTAAAATAATAGAAATGGACGAGAGAGAGAATCACCAATTAGCTGGATGCATATACTGTACAAACGTAAAGAGTCACACAAGCAAAAGAACCCACATCTAAATGAATAATTAATTAAATTCAAGCTAAGCATCCAGGTAAATAAATGATCAATCAATAGAATGTAAGTAGGTTAAGCTGGCTTGGCAAAACGCACCACTGCACCAGCCGACCGTAAATAGCTTAGTAAATGTACTTGATTTGTTTTTAAAAAGTAAACGCAGGGAAGTGAATTTTATCCAGTCACATTGGAACTCGTTAATGGCAAAATAACATGAACATTATTGCACTTATGTTGGTATTTTACATGTTCTTTTCAAAGTCTGTGTTTAACTACAAGTTTCATTTCACTAAGCGAATATTAATCTAGGAAAAAGATAGTATACCTTTTGATTAATTGGTTGAATTATTTATTTATTTATTTTTATTTTTAAAGGTGAGAAAGTTCCACATCTCATATGTAATCTACCGTTGCCTGGCGGCTTTGTATTTCATCATCATCTTCATCTATAACGTCTCTACGTACGAGCATGGCGCCAAATACCTCATCTTTATCTCCAACTGGTCGTACATTACTCTGACCTTGCACCTGGTGATACTGGCTCTTACCTCCACGACATCGTATCTCAAGTTTAAAAGAGAAGCAGGTATTGTCCATGTGTTTTCTTTTTTGTTTGTTTGTTTGTCTTGTGTCGGCGCGTGCGCTTTGGGAGGGTGTTTGTGTTAGTGTGCGTGCGTTTTGGTGCAAGGGCGTGTGTGTTTGCGTGTGAATTTTTTTNAGAAGAAAATTAAATCTACGACCTATGTACCTGCATGCTGTGACGCATGTAAAAAATTCAGTGAAACTGTTACCGGCTGCGTGGCCATGGACTAAGGAATAATTTTCTAGGAAGTGACCACTCGGTGTTCAGGAAACGTTTGAGCCCCGCTGTGAAATTTACCGTATTGAGATCGATGGAGGACTTTTCGCTTCTTTGAATTCAAGCTGCGAATCGATTCAAACCCGAGCCCCCGTGAACAGTAATATAAGCGCCGGCTGGGTCTGCATCATGCAAGCTGACGATGACGTGCGCGGAGATATAAAATTAAGATATTTATCGTGCGGGCTGTTGTCAAAGCTAGCTATATTTTACATTTGCTAATACCAAGGTCTTTATTGGTAATTTAAAAAAGTGAAGCGGTGACGATAAGGGAATATATAGAGCGGAAAGTGAAGTTGGTCCACATTTTAACGCTGACTGCGGAAACTGTTGTTAATCCCACCACTCCTCATAGGCTATCAAGAACATCGCAATGTAGGCCTTCACCCATGGTGAATAAGTATCCAAACAGAAGGCGCTCCAAGTCACGTGAACAGTGTAAGCTGGAGGCAGAAAACATCTGATGAGGTCGATCATTTTGGTGAAGTATATATTGCGGGAGGCATTTTCCTTGACAACATGGCAGTGGTAGTGCATGAGCTGGATGTACCGCGCCGAAATAACTGCTGTTCGGCTGAGTTTGCCTGTCCGCACTTCACGCTTGAACACGACAATCCCGTGTTGTTTCTACAACCTCAGGTTAGTGAATGTGTGTGTGTGTGAGTGTGCGTGTATGTGCGTGTGTGTGTGTGTGTGTGTGTGTGTGTGTGCACAAAAGAAAGAGAGAAATAGCGTGTGTATGAGAGAGAGAGAGAGAGAGAGAGAGAGAGAGAGAGAGATTTTACAATGGCTTTAATTTATAAGTAAACATTTTAGACGTTCTTTCTTTTTTAGCTCCAGTACAGATTAAATATTCTAGACCCCATTCTACACTGGAGATAACAGGACTATTGTTAAAGACGATTTATGTTTAAACTCCACTTACATATAAACACACATATGTACTTTTCTTATACGCAATAAAAGTACATGTAAAAACCTCAGTCATGCATCTACTTGCTTTATTGACACTGTGGCAATACTTCAGCATTTGCAGGATTAGTGGGTTATAACAAGCCAATATATGTCACTACCCAATCATCTTAAGCTTAATATGATAGATTATACAAACGTATGCTGGCAGGCAGGAGATTTATAGAAAAAACGAGTATATCGGTGTGTAGCGACTGTTACAATCAGGGAAATATTTTATAAATACAGTGAAGTGACAAAGGTAAGATCAACCGAAGATGGGCCGTGAGAGAGTCTAACTGGTATACATCCCTTTCTAAGTGAAACGCTATCATGTCTTTGGGTCACTGCTCTAAATATAAATATGCTTAATGCCAACCGAGCTCTCGCTTGCTTTGCCTTTTAAAAATAGAATGATTAGCTTGAAAAAATCTAGCACTCCTTGGAACAACAGCCCGCATATGTAGGCCTAAAGGTATAACCTAACCTTAGCGCTCAGCCGAAACGGGAGATTGAGAGAATCGATTGTGAATTTTCTTACTGATCAACACATTCAGTAACAAGAGGTCCCAGGGGTGCTTGGGGTCTGATGGTTCTGATTACATGCGTCTCCCTTTCGGCCCGAGGGGGGGAGGGGGGGGTCGAAGGCTACGCACCCCCTTGGTTTCGAAAGTACCCCTTTTTGAAAACGGTCTAACCAGTGCGTTTGGAGAATGGTTAGTGACTTTTCCTTTTTGATTCAGAATAGTACAACATTCCTCCTATCTAGAAAACCGAGCCAGCAAAGATTAGAAACATTTGCCGTCACCCTGTGGAGCAGAGAGCTGATTATGTCCCTCTTGTGCATCGCCACACTTTCATTATAGCACAATGTGATGTGCCAATACTTTGGTACTCGGGGTTGAATGCACGGAAACATATGGCAAGTATCTTGCTTCTCATCCAAGATTCAACATTTGCAAGAATAAGCTACGAATCGATTTCAAACTAGACGAGAACTAAATAAAAAAAAAATACTTGTGTCTAACGTACAGCAATATTATACCCAAGACCAACCCAAACTGCACCCATGATATTCATTATACCAAAACATACTATATTTTAGTTCACAGCTTTTCTAATTGTTGTGATATTAAAGGGATAATAACTCTTTGTTTCGGCCAAAAAATGAATTTTCCTGGAGTAAACAACAATTTTCCCATACTTACCAATGGTTAATGAATCCATTTTTACATTCAAAGTTACTCCCTGTTTTTTTTCTAAAAAGTTTGGTTTTTTGTTAAGATCTCTTAAGAGATTTTAACAGAGTACAGCCATCAATGGAGGTCACGTGGTCTAAATACAAGCTCAGATATCAGAAAAAATAGCTATAACTGCCATTTTTGTGGTAAAACAGAATATATTATATTTCTATGAGTTATTCACAATGTTTTTATTGTTAAATATAGATCTCATACGAAGAGTTATTATCCCTTTAACAGACATTCCCACGGAGCCACCTAGGTGACGGATCTAGTCCCAGAGGTCGAAATTAGGCATTGGTATCGGCATGAGTTACACTTATAGAGGTTTTCTATTCCCCAAAGCTACAGGCTGACGCCAATCCTGGCTAATAGTTCAAGACAAGCTTCGACAGGAGAGAAGAGATATCATCTGGCTTTAGTTCTGTGGCCTGTTTCGGTGCTGTTTCACAAAAGACCTATAGCCCGAAAACAAGTCTAAACTCTAAGACATCTAAACTCTAAGACGAAAGTTTGTCTACTTTGACGTTTTTTAAAATATATTTCTAAAAATTAAAAAATAGTATGTACATATAAAGATGGCAAACCCCTTTTAAGCATTGTATGCTCATCTTAAAGAACCTAAAAGTATAACCAATAAACTAACATATATCTACTGATGATGGAGAAAAGAAAAAAATGTTTTATAATGATAAATACTGAAACAGTGATTTAAGTGAATTAATACATTACAAGGGAGTTGGGAGGTAGGTGTAGGATTAAATAAAGTATAGCTCATGTTTTGCAACGCGAAAGGTGTGGTTTATGTACCAGACCACAACTATATTTTATTAAAGTGGACTGCTACGTATAGGGTTCGTCTTTAACAGATGAAGGCCAAATATTTTGTCTAAAAGTGTAGACGGCTAATTTTCAGGCTATAGTCCTTTTGGGAAACGGCTCTATGGAATGTTCTGCAATACGGTAGTCTAGACTCTAACACAATAATAAGGAACGTCTCCACTAGAGTGAAATTAGTCTACTCTCCGCCATGGCCTGCTAAATTTAAGAAAAATCATTAAAGAATGACGTTTAACTTCTTTTTTTTTCGTCTTCCGACCCATTTAAGACAGCAGGGTATTAAGCTCTTGCATGAAACTGTTCGTCTTCATAACCACAGCACACTAAACACCACATGTATCTATTTTCGGGCTAAGACCCTAAGGTCCTCTAGAATAGCGTCTGATCCCACTGCTGAAATTTAGATTTATGTTTGATAAGATTAAGGAAGGAAGTAGATACCTTCATCCTTGGATTACGGCAGCTAAGAGTTAAACATTAAAAAGTGGTACGTTTGCTACACTGTATAGAATTCTCATATCTGATCGAGACGGAATTTTCATATAAACTGATTTCCGAAAACTGCTCTTCTTCATCTGATTGCTATGAGGAATCCAAATTATCAAATATGATCCCAAATAGATGCCAGGATATCGGATTTAGAAGACTGCAAGGCAGCAATTACAATTAAACGAAAATAATCGTTATGTAAAATAATAGAAATGGACGAGAGAGAGAATCACCAATTAGCTGGATGCATATACTGTACAAACGTAAAGAGTCACACAAGTAAAAGAACCCACATCTAAATGAATAATTAATTAAATTCAAGCTAAGCATCCAGGTAAATAAATGATCAATCAATAGAATGTAAGTAGGTTAAGCTGGCTTGGCAAAACGCACCACTGCACCAGCCGACCGTAAATAGCTTAGTAAATGTACTTGATTGGTTTTTAAAAAGTAAACGCAGGGAAGTGAATTTTATCCAGTCACATTGGAACTCGTTAATGGCAAAATAACATGAACATTATTGCACTTATGTTGGTATTTTACATGTTCTTTTCAAAGTCTGTGTTTAACTACAAGTTTCATTTCACTAAGCGAATATTAACAAAGGAGAAACATGAAAGATGTTTTTATTTTATATGTGCTTTTCACTACAAGTTTCATTTCACTAAGCGAATATTAATCTAGGAAAAAGATAGTATACCTATTGATTAATTGGTTGAATTATTTATTTATTTATTTATTTTTTTTAAAGGTGAGAAAGTTCCACATCTCATATGTAATCTACCGTTGCCTGGCGGCTTTGTATTTCATCATCATCTTCATCTATAACGTCTCCACGTACGAGCATGGCGCCAAATACCTCATCTTTATCTCCAACTGGTCGTACATTACTCTGACCTTGCACCTGGTGATACTGGCTCTTACCTCCACGACATCGTATCTCAAGTTTAAAAGAGAAGCAGGTATTGTCCATGTGTTTTTTTTTTTTTTTTTTTGTCTTGTGTCGGCGCGTGCGCTTTTGGGAGGGTGTTTGTGTTAGTGTGCGTGCGTTTTGGTGCAAGGGCGTGTGTGTTTGCGTGTGAATTTTTTTGTACGCTCTGCGTGTGTGTGTGTGTGTGTGTGTTTGCGTGTGAATTTTTTGTACGCTCTGCGTGTGTGTGTGTGTGTGTGTGTGTGTGTGTGTGTGTGTGTTTGTGAGTG